TTATTTATGTATTTGCCTTCTTAGCACAAGAAGGTTGCTGGTTCAACTTCTGGTTAGGATCTCTGTTCGCTCTGTACTTGTTTAGGCTTTTTCTAGGTAACAGTCCAAAAACATGCATGTTTTTGTGTCTGTATGTGTGAATTGTTGTCTGTCTTATCTGATGCATTTGGTGAAATGTCCAGGATGTATTCTATTTCTCTGCGGTGACCCTATGACCTTGATAAACAATATTAAGCAAGATGATATTTATCACTATGGAGGTTAATACCTTGTTGTTTAGCTAAAACCTTAATGTAAAATTGACTTTTATTTTGTTCCTGTTTTGGTATTGTTACACTGAGAGGTGTGGTGTACAAAAGAGAGTCATACTCTTAAATGGCTTTACAGCAAACAAAGCAGGTTTATTGGGTCTTTTCAGGCCTCACAGCAGCTCTCAAAGTGGCAGCCCTTCCATCCGTCTCACTACATTCAACAGTCCACCTATATACACACACACCCCACCTTCAATTCAACTCAGCCAATCACCTCAGTCTTTCAGAGCGGGAAAGAAAACAAACAGTGTGACATAGATAATTTAAACAATTATTCATCTATAATGGAATATCAAACAAACATTTTATGTATGCAAATGTGTAATTTACAAGTCAGTTTACTCATTTAATTACTGAAATTTTCTTCTTACTCTCAACAAAGAGGACACACCTATGGTAACAAACATTTCATCTGTACATTGACATGTTCACAACTACACACCACACTCTGAAACTAAAACAGAATGGTTTGGGAAGAACTTGGTGCTTCTTAACAGGTATTTTCTAATTTTTATCAGGAAAAAGCTTCTTTAGCTGGTAAAAGTTTCATCATGTATCTTCGTTAGTCTGCTGCTTGGCATCATGATTAAGTCCTGGGTTGTAAAAAAGTAATTCAAAGTAAACTAAAACTCTTAAAGTATAGTATAGTGTAGAGCTACAGAGTCAAAGATTCCTCGTATGGTCAAAATCAATTAAAAATAAGACCACCTTATGAAATGGCATAATCAGAAAAAATAACATTGAACTTAAGAGAGGAAAGGGGTGGGTCATCTGTGATGGTGCCAGCTTGCAGGCATACACCAAATACAAAAGTGAAAAATCACACTCAGGTTCATTTGTGTCTGAAGGGCTCGACACACGGGCAGCGACAAACTACAGCGATTAACGGCCGTCATCGCAGCCAGGGTGAAACCCGACACACGGGACGCGATAGCGATCGCAGCGTTGCGAATCGCGCTCTCTGGTCGCTTGTCTTCACAAAATTTGATTGGTTCTTGACTCTGAAGGTGGGTGTGCATTACGGACGTGTAAACTAAACAAATCTTGCGATGCTAATGATATTGAAAAACAAACGCACATCAAAATACAATTTTATGAGGAAAAACTTACCATAAACTTCACCCTGGCACCAACAAATTCCCACAAAGCTGCTTTTTTTAGTAATCACTTGGTGAAAGTGTTAGCTAACTGCAGTGTGTAGCACACTCTCCTCTCATTGGTCAGYCAATGAAACCCTCGCTGATTGGTTGTACGCTAAGCGACAGCGACAAAAGTTGAACATTTTTCAACTTTCATATGTCGCGTCGCAAGCTTGCGTATGCACGACTACGTGTACGAGCGCGAAATTTCACATGCACTATTTTCGCCGGTCTCTTAGCTGGAGGAGGGCAAGCGATTGTCGTCTCACCGCACAGGCTCCATAGGAAATGAATGGAGAGCGAGCGACGTCGCCTCCCGTGTGTCGAGTCCTTTAATGAAACTTGTGAACCACAACACAGTTTTCTACAAATGAAATCAATGAGATTATACGGAAGTTATCAATGATCTGCTAACAAAAACAAATGAAGAAACAAAGAGAGAGCTGCTTTTAGACAAGCTGTGTATTGTACTGAGGAACATGGAGCACTCTGGGATATGATATGGAATGACTGAGCTAAATGCAAATGTCTGATTGATTTTTTTGACCAAGGCAGAAAGATCACCTCCTCCTATTGATCTACTTGAGGCAGAACGAGGGTAAACAAAGACACTAACCTCTGACCTCATGGCCTTGGCCTACAGCCAGAAAGCTGCCTTTTAGCCCTTGTCTCGTGACCTCTGACTCCTGCAGATGTGACCTCCAAAGATGTTTGGATGAATGGCTCTGCTCCAACTGCTCCTGGCCAAACTACCTGAGCCAAACGAACACCTCCACAGAGTTTAGGAGGAAGAAAGAGAGCAAAAGAAGTTTTCATCCAAGAAACAACTTCTCCTACAGGATGTGTCACCGTGCAGCTGAAATACAATGAGAGAAACAAGTTGAGGGAGAATTTCTCAAGCCTTAAGATGCTATTTTCAGGTTAATAGCAACTAACGGTTATTGACTTGGTAATTTAATTACTTGCGCATGGTTTAAACTTATAAACGCAGACATGACTGTAAAAAACTGTGTTCTCTGTGTTCAAATACAACAGAGTTGTTCTAAGTGTTGAAAAGTACTTTAAATCTGTTTGAAATGAATACTAATACTCACAAATGAAAATATTAAGCCATCAAAAGGTTTGTACAGATCTATTATGTGATCTATTATATGTCTACTGATATACAGTATTAGAATCTAATGTGTGATTTTAAAGTATTTTTTCAAAATAAGACAAGACAAGGTTCAACAGGCAGTCTTAACCTTTAGAGTGTTTTGGTTTGATAATTGTGTTTTTAGATTTATTGTTGATTATTAGTTCTATTAGTTTTTTTGGTCACCCTTACCTACTGTTTTATTTGGGTAGTTTCTGTTCTCTGTCTGCTTTGCATCCTTGTCTTTTGTCATACTGGGTCTAGTACACCTGTTCCTCATGGCTGTCATATCTCTTTGTATTTACAATTTTTTAGTGTTCCTCATGTTGTTGTGGCCTACTTCTTGCTTTGTTCCTGCTTGTTTTAGTCTTATCAGTTCTACAAATAAAGGCTCATATTTATTGAATTGTATGTCAGAAGTTTTTTGCTTATTTTGTAACAGGAGAAACATGGCTGCTTTGACTGTAATTAAACAGGGAGGTGATGAGACACAAGGAACATGTGTGCAGATTACAACTCAGGTCAGGCGTTTCAAAAAAACAAAGCTGACAAAAGAACTAGTACTACACAGTGAAAGTGCAAACAGAATGAAACAAAGACAATTCAAAAGTCAGCTGTAAACATCAGAATCAGGAAGCGTATCATATAACACATATAAGACACCAAAACTCAATAAGAATTTTGAATCTGACTATTTTAAAAGATTTATTTTGAAAATAGTAAAGATCYAGCCGCCTTTACAAGTGTTTCCTTTCAGGGTCATGGAGAAACAGWTTTTTATCTCGAGCAGTTACTGGTTGAGAGGAAGGTATACACCCACCTCACTAAAGCCCCGTCTCTGTTGTGGAGTTTCACTCTATTCGGTTCATGTCTGTTCAGTTCTGCTCAGGTGTGTGTGTGTGTGTGTGTGTGTGTGTGTGTGTGTGTGTGTGTG